TATTGATTATAATCTTTTATCAACGGTGACCAATTATTGATCGATTGAAGATTGAATTAGAAAGTTAATTTTTATTTTTAGTTATTGCCTTTTGAAATGAAAGTTAAAACGTTACATTGTAGTTATCAAGTTATGTCAAAGTGTTAAAGTATCCCCTTGAGAGTTGAGAGTAGATACTCTGAGCAATATACTACTATAATATTTTATATTATATCTTGTGAGTAAGTGAGTTTAAACGTTCGTGCGAACCTCGTTAATAGAATTAAAAGTCGCTTTCTAACGGAGGGAAAAAAATTGTAATGTTTGACCAACGAAATGCACATTCGAGTTTTTCCTTTCAAACAATCATTCGACCCTGTCTTGTTTTTTTTTTAAGTAGTACCTTATTTATAGTTACCTATGTATTAAAAAATATTTGGGTGTATTCGAACATATGGGTACATAATGGATGTTAATATATTTTGTGGGTACATGAAGGTACCTATATGAATTATTTATGCTGTTCGCTATATTTTAAACTTTCAAGGTTACCAACCGTTTCAATCAAAACTCATCTGAAATGATTTTGAATTTGTTTTTTTCATTTTCAAACTTTTTAACTAAAAAAAACGAAATAACAACTAAAACACTTTTCAATTATGAATTGAAATATTTTAATTATAAATCAAGGTCGTAAAATAACTGGTACCAAAGTATATTACGAGTGTACAAAGAATTATATTATACTATCTATAATCGGTTAATTTTCCCTTTTTGTAAAGGCATAAGCCGGGCGATCTAATTAACAGAAGACACTCGTAATTTCAAAAATAATTCATGTTGAAAATAATTTTTCACGTAAATTTGTCAATAACATATTTTTTAGTTTTCAATATTTTTTGGAGTACCCCTCAAAAATCAAATTTTGGATGAGGAGTTTATGAGTATGTAAGTATTTAAAGCCACCTCGTAAAATGATGGTTCACTACTCCGCTGAACCTTTAAAAACATATTTAGTTGAAACTAATAAATTGCTTGTCTGAAATTTGATTTTTATAGTACAATATAAAATAAAATCCTACTTCGGAATATGAAATCAAAATTTTAAGTTGTCATTCAATAGAGTAAACCACTTAAAAAGAGAAGACTATAAAAAATGTAAAAAATATCTTTTTTTCAAAACATTTTATTTTGTGACGATTTAAAATTATCTAAAAGAAATATTTTCAATAAAGTTATTATTTTCTGAAATAAATAATGAATGCCTTAAATTAAATGGATCACTCCGTATATTATGTATATTTGTTATGTAGCTATTAACAATTTCGCATGCTTAGTATTTATTATTTACGATCATTTGAATTCTACCTATGTCGAGTATAGATCCATATTTTATTACGATAAAAAATGAAAACATTATATTGTACATGATTTATGATGTCACATGACCAAAAATGGTAAATGCATACTTCATACTCTAATATATAATATGTCGCGTGGTACTATTTTTAATGTATTTAAAATTTAAATGCGAATAAAAAATTTAATAACGCTATCCGAATATTAATAGGTACATTTGAAATAATTTAGTGCTATAATGTGTCCGTATAAAAAGAGAGAGAGAGGGAGAGAGAGAGATGGTCGACCGTCATTAAGTGTAATATTAAAACATCATCAGTTGTAATATTAATTTGCCACCATTCCGTTCTAACCTTCTGCGAGATTCTAAAATACATATCATACTCTCGATAGGTACCAAACTAATTACAAATCCGTGTTGCCCTAAATGACCAAAAACCTGTTTGCGGGTATCGTATTTTAGTCACTTCCAAATAACATAGGTAACGACAGGATATTAATATGAGAAGATAAATTGCTGCTTGAGTAGCGTTAAAAAAACAAAATGTATTAAGTAGTAGTATTATTATTTTAATGCAATATATTATAATCAACAATAGTTATTCCAGTAAGATAATGTTATGAATTATGATATACACCATAATAATATGGTATTTTGATATTATAGTCTAAAAATATATTAAATGCCTTAAAATTATTTACTGGTTTATTTTTTCACTACTAAATTCCGATACTCGATGTGTGTATAAGTTATTGTGAATTGCAGAAACTGTATGGACAGTTTTTTTTATTTTGGAAAAAACTAAGGTCGTTGCGGAAGCGCTTTCGATTACATCAATAAACATTATGTACACATTGCGATCTAAATACACCGACAGATTTCAGTTTTTTAAGAATATATAATAATATATTATTGTAACCGGTTCGTATATAATTATTGTATATTATATGTTAAGTAGAAAGATTATATGTATTTGATTGCGTTCGGTGCCCGGTTACGCGTGTTATTGTGGTATCAACGGTTATTACTTATTGTCGGATAAAAAAGAGCATTTTATAAATGTTCACAAAACTAATTTATAAAAAAAATAATGACCTAAAAATTTGTATTCTTATTTTTCAATGCATTTTTTAAATAACAAAAATGATTTTAATTTTAAAAACATGTGTGCAAGTTAAAAAAATCGGACTTAGTCGTCACTTTCTTAACGGCTCAACATTTAAACTTATGAATTCTTATCATATAAAAACTTATATCCAAAATATAATGAGCAAAAACAAATAGCACATGGGTGTTATTTTAGAGTCGTGGGCTAATTTTTTTAACTACAAGTATTTGTACGTATATAACTATATAAGTGACGACTGACATTATACCCGGATATACGTTGTATGCATTATAGCCTATATTATAGGAATATATTATATTATAACATAGTTTGTTGAATTTAATTGTTACGTTAACTGATTTATACTGTTCATAGTAACAATAAGGAATAGATATAATAATCAATAGGTACAATATAAACGTATACCTATATTATAAACAAACATTTGAGGTATTTAGATCATAAATGTATTACCATTTCTTATCTTTTTCCATCAGTATAATATTATTTACTGACTATGGACTAGTAATCATAAGCAGGTGGTCAAATAATAACAGTATTGTTATATTATAATACACACATGGGTTAAAATCAATAATAATATCAATAATATCAATAATAGTATGACGTACTCTCAACTGTAAAGGAGTATTGGAATTTGTTTTTGATTATAAGTGAAAAAGCAGGATTAAAAAATGCAATTAATAACAAGGTATAAATACAATAACTATAATATGAAGTGCTGTTGTATGCCACATTATAGTGAGGTACTTGGAGTCGTGATTGATGTGTAAAATAGATTATCGCGTTCGTGATTTTATCACACGAACTATAATATCTAGGTTCTGCACTGCAGGTCTAAATATAGGCAAGTGCAATAATTGTACATGCACATGGCACGAAAAATAAAGAAAGTCGATATCTTATATTATATTTCCTTATATTATGATTTATGACAAATATAATATGAAGTACAATTTTTGAAAATATTAACATTTTCTTTTCTATTAAAAAATAAATAAATTAGTGATTCTACTGAAACCAAACTAATCTATAGCCAGGGGTGAATCAGAACCCGTAGCCCCTCTCCTTATGTACTATTTTTAAGATATATTTCTCGATTAAATCGGCCAATAATAGTTAATCTATAAAGTCTCTTCTGGCAAATTAAAACATTTATTTTACTTTTAAAAACTATTTATTAATTTATTTATTGCAGGTAGGTAGTTAAATAGTTGTAGAACAAGCACTTGTTGTGCATACATGTCATGTCTCCCTTGATTTCTGTCATTCCTAAGTCCTGTGCCCCTGTTTGTAGCTCGGAATACGATACAGTGGCTACAAAATCGGGTTTCAACGATCGTTTTCACGCCACGCAGAGCGAAAAACGAAAGCTGCTATTCGCAAGCGTATAGTACCTATGCAATTTATTTAACAATATATTATGTATAACGTCGGCACTGTGCGTGTGATATCTTATTTCATTACGTTGAGAGGCGCAGCCGCCGAATATGACAAAGTGAAAACCTATCTACGCGTGTAATATATATTCACCTACCCACATTACAATAATTAGATAACTGCTGCTATCGTTGTTCACATTAAATAATATAATATTATCGTGCTCTTATTTTATACTCCAAGCAAATGAAGCTTGCAATGCGCTTGCATAATAACCGCAGCGGCGTTGCACACAATGTGTACACTTACGACGAAACGTGTCGAGAAGCATAAAGGTGCATAATGAGCGGCACAACGATAGTTATAATAATTAGGGAACACAATATTATAGGTATATAGGTACACCATCCGCATGCTAATTGGAAAATGTGATGATATCGTAGTTATATTATAACCAATAGGTACGTTTTTCGATAAGTCCCAGAACTTAATAACAGGCTTGTCTTAGACACGTGTGCGCTATACAAACAACAATCGTTTTGCGTCTCGACGTATTATTATTATGTGTTCTTTAACATGATATTATATTATGTTGTTATTAGAAAGTTATAGCAATTTGTTTACCACGCTGATAAACATTTTATAATAATAAATAATATTAGAAACAATCATTATTATTTCGCACTTGTACGATATTTTACTTTATTATTTATTGTAAAATATAATATTGTCGACAGTCGTGTCTGCTTGCTGTAGTTTTGACCACGGACCCGTGGTGGTCATGACTCATAAATAATATACCCGGAAAAATATTCCAAGGCAAAATATTAGTTCAAACCTTTCTTTAAACTCTATTATAAAAGTTATGATTAGAAATATCACAAATCAATATAATCATCGCACATTTGATATCTACAATGGTTTTGTGTGTCGCATTTATTTTTGAATTGTGGGTGCTCTTTTTTTTTTGGAAAATTTTAAAATAGTTAGTTAGGTACCACAAATACACCACTGATATCGTGTTACTTTATAGTATGTCGCAGCGGTTTGTTTATTATACTCGTATATATTGTTCTTCAATTTTGAGGTTTTGCTCGTTTCGATATAAAAATTAAAACATTATCAATAATACCTTGGCGTTGTTGTTCACAGGTTGACCGATTACAATCCTGCCGATTACAACGGAGTGATGTACATATACTCACCCGGACCCAGCGGTGAGTGCGGTCAAGTGATGGACGTCCAGCAACAGCATCAGCACCAGCAGCAAAACAACCATCACCTCATCCAGCTACAGCAGCAACAACTACAGCTACAACTGCAGCAACTCCAACAGCAGCAACAGCAACAGATATCGCCGCCGGCCAGCCCACCAGACGACAGCGACGACGGAAACGCGATCTCGGATTCGAAGTTCTTGGTGCGCCAGCTGATGGCCACCACGACGACCACGACGGCAGCGACACCGCCGACGCTCTTGTCGGCGACCAACGCGGCCGCGGCGGTTGTCGGCCGTCCACACAAGCAAACGGCGACGGCCGCTGCGACCGCGGCCGCTGTGTCCGCTGCGTACACGGCTACCATGATGACGCCTCCGTCATCACCGCCCGAAGACGGTGTGAAAATGGCGGCGGCCGTGGCCACGAAAGTTACCACCGGCGGCCAACGGTCGTCGAGGCGGACAGGAGGTGTCGGTGACCAGCGGCCACAACGCGCCAAAAAGACGTCGGCCAACCACTCGTGTGGTCACCCGGGATGCGGAAAGACGTACACCAAGAGCTCGCACCTCAAGGCGCACCTGCGCACGCACACGGGTGAAAAACCGTACCAGTGCTATTGGAACGGGTGCGGTTGGAAGTTCGCCCGGTCCGATGAGCTGACCCGGCACTTCCGCAAGCATACCGGTGACCGGCCTTTCAAGTGCCGGCTGTGCGACCGCGCATTCTCCCGGTCCGACCACTTGTCGCTGCACATGAAGCGGCACAACGTCTAGCGAGCAGCGGAAGTATATGCAATCGAAAACAACGGCGCATCGATTTTTTCGCAATTATTACCGACAGCAGAAAACAATTTATGTTCACCACGACTATCGTATAATAATACCAGTGTAGTGTCGCACGTTTTTTTGATTTTCCTCGTTATCGTGCCATGCAATAATAATGCGTATACATATTATAATAGCCGTAACGATTGTATTATATAATAATAATTATTATTATGTTTTACATATTATATATTCTATATTTTCTTTCTTTTCTTACTTAGCAGTAGTAGTATTATAATATGGTATGATAGAGTAGGTAGTATTTTTACTTACACGTAGGTGGTAATAATAATAATATTATTATACCTTCATAATGAACTTGTACATTTTTTTTCCATCATTCTTTTATTGCTCGGCTGGTCTGTGGCGGTCCGACGACGGTGCCCACTCGTAAACAGTGCATTATAAGTACCCAGTGTGAGCATGATATTAAATATAATAATAATAATAATAATAATAATTGTAAAACGTGTTCAAACGCCACAGCCGCGATTATATGTAAATACGATCCGGACGCGCGTGTGTCGTTGGCTGCAATATATATTACTATCGCGTACGACGACGTCTATGATAATAATAATAATAATAACAGTCTTAAGTCATGGTCCGTGTCCAAAGTCTTTGAGATTTGTGTACTGGTCAATCGGTGTCCAGACGTCGTCGTGGAAAAACCTACCGGGAAATCCCATCCTCCATCACACGCGTTCATTTCTTTCGAACCGAAAACGTTCACCGATCGTCGTTGTTTTTTTCGAGTGTTTATCGCATGATTTCGACAGTGACGTTGTTAGAGTTCGGCACTAATGTGGCGGATTTCCTCGTTTCGCACTTCAACCGACCCCCTAGTCGTACTTTCCACGCGCGATGGCTTTTCGGAAAACGTCAATTTGTTTTAATACTGACGTTCGGTGAGCGGTCGATCACAAATCGTCCGCAACGATGTTTAACTAGAAAATTATTTTTCACGTTAACAAACATTACGTAAAAACAAGTACAAACACACTAAAAAAAAAAAAAACGTTTAAATTTATCATTTCACTCACACGTCGTGGTGTTCCCCTACCAAAACCACGAGCCCAACCACGACTACTTATCGGCCTCACACGTTTAGCAGAGAGCGAGACTTAATACATTTTTAAATAAAAACCGTCGTCGCCAAACGGTGTATGCTCTCTTTAACCACTCTGTATATATAATATACAAATCACCAGATGATCTCGTCACCGGAATAACGTCACCTAATGTTATGATTTCGCTCGACACTGTCGTTTTTATATACCGTCTGTATCGTGTTCTCGAAAAACCATTTCGAATTTTGAGGGGTTGCATATTTTTATCATCAGTCACATTTGCGTGTCTAGGTTTATTATTTTTCGTCATATTATAAATCTCACGCTATTGTTCCCATGTATATTCATAATTCATTTGTTTGATAACATTTAATCCAACAGTTTTTATTCTCATCGAATAAAGCTTAAAAAAAATTGCCTGTATCTCAGAGCTATAATTTATAATACGTCGCTTAGAGAGTTTTTTTTATTTTCCACACAATAATATTATTTGCTACAACGGTCTGCGAATGACCATCCCAAACCGATTAAATAGTACCTATAATAAACACCTTAAACACACGCGTGAGGTACACTCCTTTAAACCCACGAAACGTAATTTGCCCCAACACTGTTCCGTACGACGACAATTGAAGACAACTACCGCTAAATCATCAACGTGCCATGGAAGAAACTGCCCCCCCCCACCCCCCCCCCCCCCAGCGAAATTTATTGAACCGTCGTCGTTTTCTGTCGACTCGGAATTCTCAGTCCGTTATTCCTTTTGAACACCGACAATAACCGAGTTACCGGGGTACACCCTATTATAAGACCCCGCACTGACGATTTTGGATCTCTTGGATGTGAAATTTTTTTTCTCCTTTGTATTTTACTTACGATACCTATATATACTACAATCACATTATCGTATACAGCAGAGGCGTGCTCAAGAATATGCTATGGGGGGAGGGTGAAGTAAAATAATATATTATTGTATAATATAATCGGGAGGTGGCACAGTGCAGGCGTCACATTGTTTTAGGTTTTAAAGGGATAGTCTTCACAATTTGTCTAGAAATTAGAAGATAACATTATTTTGCCCATCAGATTTAATGGAGGGGGCGAGCGTCCATGACTCCCCTTCCCTCTGAGCACGCCCCTGGTACATAGACGTAGTGATAGTTTTAGGCGTATTGCATTTAATATATAGTTCTTAATATATTATATTATAGCGTAACGATTGTACGGTAATATGTGTTCGGGTCGGCGATGATTCGCACTATATCGGAAACATTAAATAAATACTATTATATATATGTACCTATTGCACACGCCACACACCGACACGCAAGCACATCATGACCAACGCAATAACTGACCATTACTCGTATAGCATTAATTTTTCAACCAAAAAACTCGAAATGTTTCGAGATGAAACCACATTTGAAGTCTTAAACAATCGTGTCAGTATATTTATGAGATTATTGGAAATAACATAGTTTTGTATTTTTCCCTCTATCAGTGAATGTACTTGCTTACTGAAGTATTTTTCAACTTTCCATAGCATTGTAAAAACTTACTACAATTTTCCGTTACCAAAATATCCAAAAAGTTATTTTATTTTAATACGTGTGCTTATATTGTAAATCGATAGTTTGTCCAAATTCGTTTTGCAATACTTTTACAATTCGCCCGTTAGGCTAAAAGATGTTTGTGAAATTCCAACTGCGGTCCAAGTCTTTCCATTACCTTTGAAGCGTAAGTGCCTAACTTTCGTCATTGTTATTATAGATGGACATTGTATTCAGCTGCGGAAATTAACTATTCGCAGCACATAGTAAATAACAAGCACATTTTGCACGTCAGATGTACATGTCATGAACCCTATGATAAAATTCTCGGCTTCGATTATAATCATAAATTTCACTTGGATTAGGACTACTACTTGGTTTAATTGTACATACAACTGCATTTGGTTTGTTTTTCGTCGACTCTTAGAATAATTATAATATAATATATTGACTATGCGTATATACATAATAATTGTATTGTATTAAAACAATCACGTTTTTTTCCTGATTAAACAAAACGTATTTTTTTATTTGTTATTATTATTTTTGTTTTATACATATATAGTTCTTAGACTTATTCAAAATCAAATTTAACAAAATGTGTTTAGCAATAAGTGTTTTTTTTTTAACTTAGCTGTTATTAGGACTTACAAAAAAACTATTATTCTTTTTAATGTTATTATTTTTATTATTTTTTTATTCAGTTATTAAAACTAAACCATTGTAAAAATCTTTATTTTACTGATTATTATTAATAAACGTATGTCAACTTATAATATTGCATACTTTTACAACTGTATGTATTTTTATTTCATCTTCATTATTATTAATTATTATTGTAACTAGTTACTATAATTATATAGTTATAATGTGAATTTTGTCCTTTTGTAGATTTATAGCGACGTCGAACGTTATTATAATACCTGTAGTAGGTATACCACGTCGCGGTTCCGGGCGCCGCGGAAGTATACAGAAAAAAAATTAAATTGTTTTCATGCCATTTAATTAAACATAATAATATTTACATATACTAAGGTTATTATTATTATCATTATTATTATATTACATTAAACTTTTACCGTTATCAAAAATGTTTGTTTTTAATTTACTAACGTAATCCAATACTCAGCGTGAACGCGGTGGCAACTCGCTCGCCCGAGAGTGGTAACCGTCACGGTGAGCATATATTATTATTATTATGACATGTGTGGGCGCGTGCGAGCAACCGTACACTGCCCCCACCGGGCAATATTTCATACTCGGCGTAAGGGTCGTCGCGGCGGTGTCAGACGAATAAGTATCATTAAGCTAATACAGAGTTTCGTGTTGGACGTGTACATAATATTTTGTACCTATACATCGGGCTCGCATTAGGGTCAAGTATAATTATTATTATGTGAAATGAACATCGCGTTAATTAAATTTAGGTGCACAGACCGAGTAAAAAATAATAATTATTATATATACATATATATATATGTATATATGCATGACAAAAAATAAATAAAAACTATACATTTGACGTATACTCGTCTGTGAGTCACGATTGAAAGAGTACACTGCAGTTGACTGCTGTATAAATATGAATATAGGTACCTATACCTACGTATTCTCTCGTATAATATATGGGTTACGAATAAAATGTTAAATGGGGCATTGTATATGAAATGTATTACACTCGTCAGTGGACCTAGGACTGGGGAAAAAAAATATTGAGGGGGGGGGGGTGGACTTGAGCGCAGAACATACAGCCTACGTCAAAACAGACATATTATATTGTATAAACTAAAATTCAAATACTCTCATAGTTTCCAACAGCGATAAACACGATGATATAGATTATAGATAGGTAGCTATCGCTGACATTGATTTCAAAAATAAAAAAATTTATGTTTGGACCACAATGAAGTCACCCTAATGGTGTTCATGTGGGAGTAGTGGGGTGGGGTAGTCTTTAATCCGATTATGACTTTTATACGATTACTGCACAAATTATACTAATGTAGTAATGTAAAAAGCAGTAAACTTAAATATAAATAACGTATATGAGTAAAAATAAAATTTTAAATGGGGCGTTTAATGAAATGTTCAATATTAATACAATCGCCATCGGATGGAAAAAAAAAATAATACAGGTGGTTGAGGGGTGAACTGATTCAAGTAGATAACTGCAGCCGTATGGTTGATGTAATATTATAAACAATAAAAATACTCGTGGTTATAAAAGGTGATAGTTTATTGACTTAAAAAAATATAATGTTCGAGTTTGGACGTCAATAAAGTCACCGTAATGGTGTGCCTACAAATCGAATAAGATTTCCGCACAATTTTTACCAAACGTACTGTTGCACGGGAGGTTTACGAGTGCGTCTGAAATGAAGTATCAACTAAAATACCGATTAATTTAGTGTTAACTCAGTGAACCTAATGAAATGGTTTACAGCCCAAAAAAATTTGGTTATTATTATTTATTTTATCATTTTGATTTACACCCATTTTTACAAGTTTATAGGTGACTATTTTTAAATTTTTTTTCGATTTATGTATGTTATAAAAATAATTCCTCAACAGTTGTAACATGTTAAAATATTCTTACTATAATTAATAAATATTAAATATATAGGTATAGTCACTTTGTTTGTACAAGTGTATCTGTAAGTTTAAACTTATCAAAATTCGCCAAAATTAAATATTTTTTCGTAATACTGTTAGTTATTTTCCAGTGAGCCATATAAAATGATGCACAAAATAGTAGTTATAATATTTGTACTATATAAATAGGTATACAGTGCACAAGTTTATAAAAGTTGAAAAATATCAAGGAAAAGTCAATCATATTGCAGTGTTCTAGGTCCCATATTGTTCTTAATATATATTAACGATATTTGTAATTTAGAATTAGACGGTCAACTTGTTTCTTATGCAGACGATACATGCTTACTATTTTCAAGCAATACATGGGATAATGTCAAACGTAAAGCAACAGCAGAAGTTAACAAGGTATTTATTAAGTTGTCTGAAAAAAAACTCACTTTAAATATAGGCAAAAGTGTTTTTATTGCATTTTCTATAACAAATAACTATATACCAATAGATAAAATTATTATACACTCCTGTGACACGCAAAATGTCTTCTTAACTTCCTGTAACTGTCAAAAAATAATTCGCGTAACCAGAGTAAAATATTTAGGTTTAATCATTGACTGTTTCTTACGATGGAATATACATA